TCAAAATAAACTTTTCTATAAGTTATTTTGATCACAGTGTTCTATTACAGCAACATAAAAATAACTAATACAGAAGCTGGTACAAAATAAGTAAGGCTATTGCTGGGAAGAACAGGACCTTATAATTATTTGGAGGAATTAGAGGAATTTGGAACTTTGAACTAGAAAAACCGCTGAACGCCATAGTCAGAACTTAACGGGCCATTCTAGAAGTATCCTGGAAGTCAGTAGTCTGAGAGTCGTGTATACAGTGTAGGTAAAGCTCAAGAGGTTTCGGAGAGGAAACAGGACTATCAGCAACTGGACAAATGCTATTACTGTAATATTTTGACAAAGAATCTTGCTGTATTCTGCCCTGTCCTAAGATTTGCCTAATTTGATTAATTTCAGAAGTCATGAACTAATTTTTAATTTTGTTGGTGGAGAAAATTTCAAGACAGCATAACATTGAATCTGTGGCATGGCTATTACATATTGATCCTAAATAGGTCTAGAAAAAACGAAAAAGCATAAACCATGGGGAAGAATAAATGTTTAAAACATAACATTTGGAGATGTGAAGAGCATTTGAAAGCTTCATGTTACAGAGAAGTCATATAAAAAGATTAGGAATGTTAATGAGAAGCCTTCTATGCTCATTGCAATGGGAAGAATGGCCTGAGGGAAACCCTACCCAGCTAACTTTCCAACCACTGGGAGGACAAAGCCTACAAAGTTCCCTGACCCTAAAAAGGAATTGCTTCCACATAGAAAAAACTGCTACCAAGGGAACAAGTGTCCCTAGTTGGCATCCAAATGCAGCATTGTCTTTCATGGGTACTACTAGCTTTGGAGGTATGAAAGATACAAGACCAAGGGTGATGTGGATTATTCCCACACAGTTTCCAAGAGTTAGATGACACCAGACAATAGGTGGAAGTGTCGGAGTCCCTGCAAGCAGGCCCTGGAAGGTTCCTGCATGAAGCTGCTTACCCTAAAAAGTAAGGTGAAACCTGGATTACCATAGATGCTAGAGATTCCATAGCCAAGTGACATCTGCCAAAAAAGATCTGAATACAGAAAATGGAACCCACCTAAGAAAGAGATGTATGTATTATAGGCAGCAAAGCTGGAAGGGTAGAGTCTTCTAAACCTTTGAAACTGAAGTTCCAAACAGCGGAAACAGAGATACAGGATTTGGTTGGTGATTTTTCCTATTGCTGTTGGATTTCTGTTTTGTTTTGGTCCAATCTTTCCTTGTTTTGCTAACATTCACCCTTTCTAGAATGGGAATGTATATTCTGTGCCGTTGTATGAAATTTGTTGTTATTTTGTTTGTATGTTTTTAATTTTACAGGGTGTCATAGCAGACTTTGGATTTTTTTAATAGTATTGAGACTAATAGGTTATGGGAGTTTTTGAAGTTAGGAGATAGCTACAGGTCTTAGGAGAGCCAGGAAATCAAAATATAATGGTTGATATGAGAAATGTCTTCTATATCCGAATACTTGGTCTCCAGCTGGTGGCATTTTGGAAGAAGTTAACGGTCCCTTTAGGAGCGAGACCCTTGCTGGAAGTCGGAAATCAGCTCGGGTAGGCCTTAAGGATATATAGCTTTACTGCATATTTTGTGTTTTCCCTTTTCCTCCTTCTGTCTCCTCTATATGGATAACGATGTGGTCAGTGGGTTTCCTGATCCTGTCACAATGCTATACCTTCCCAGCCAACATAAACTCTCTCTCTCTGGAACCATAAGACAAAATGAACTCTTGTCCCTCTGATTTTCTGTTGGCCATGCTATTGTATCACAGCAACAGAAAAAATAATACAAGCAGCAATGAAATCCTCTAAACTAATTCAATATTCTGTCACAGTTATATAAATATAATATGTAAAAAGGTCACAATTCATTTCATCAGTTCTGTTACTTAAGATTTAGAAAAAGATAAGTAGAGTGACTTGCCCAAAAACATCTAGGCAGTGAGTATATGAGAAAATGGTCCATGTCTTTTGAGTTTTGGCTACAACTTGTGCCTCCACCATGACTCTTCCTGGACTAATGTGTTCCCTGCAATCAAATTTCACGTGACCTGGTGACCGATGCACTACTGTTTAAAGACGCCAGGCTTTCCCACACATTCATTGTGGTGTTTGTAAGGTATCCATTGATGCCTTTATCGCCACACACAACAGAATTAGTGATTAAAAATATTAAAACAAAACAATTTTAGGAAGCATTTAATTGTATCTCTGAAATTATGAAATATCCAGAACTTTTAGCTACTTGATATAAGTACTTGACAAAGGATTGCAGTACACACACAATAGGTCATTTCTCAACTTACAAATAAAGAGATACATCATTTATTCTGCTTGAAGTAACATAACTACTTGTAACAAAGAATGAAAATCCTACCAGATTCGGATGGCCAACCTCTTGATCATGTGACATGACTTTGTCATCTATAAAATTGATGCTTCAGAACAATGCAACTGAGTTACCAGAAGAAAATAATTCATGTTTTAAATTAGTTTATGATTTTATGTTAGGTCACATTTATAGCCATGCTAGGGCAAATGAAATCCACAGGTCCAAAGTTGGATACACCAGCCAATAAGTAGTAATCTTCTTTTCTCTCATACTGTCCTTTAGATAATTTGGATACTACAGTTAATTTTCCATAATATGCATATCTTCTCTCAGGTATTTCATTGTGCTACCCTCTATTACGTCAAACTTAAGATATTGTGATTAAACTTACTCTGTTTATCCATCTGTCAACTGTCATTTTTAATATCTCTGCTATTGGCCTTTTATCACCTCTTAATTTACTTAGTCATCAAGAGCTGCCCATTCTTTGAGTGTGTGTGTGTGTGTGTGTGTGTGTGTGTGTGTGTGTGTTCCTTTCCCCCGGAGTTGATTAAACATCCTCAAATTTTCTCACCAGAATTCTGGAATATTAAATCTCTAAACTTTATCTTTTACTTAGCAGACTTATTTAAACACAGAACATACCCCTTCAAAATGTTCCCAATTATTTTAAATTGCTCAAAGAACATGGAGAAATGAAATTAAAATAAAGAAAAGAAACATATTAAGAAGTAAAATACTTCTCTATCAATAGAATCCTAAAGTTCTTAATGATGCCTTTTACTTTATTATACAGATTTTAATAGAAATATCCCATCAAGAATATGTCAAACATGGGATTCATTTTAACAGCATTTGTAAACTTACTGTTCATTAGGCAGTAATAAATATGTTGATATTCAGTATCTTATTAAAAACTTTTAATTCTTCTGTAAAGAAAAGAAACTGATGGATACAAGTTTAAGTAGCAGGCTAGATGCTTCCCTATGATAGAAGCACCAGAGTCTCTCAATTATGTGTCCAGAATGTATTTAATTCATCTTCCTGACAAACGGGAACATTTGTTTCCCACTTAAGCTTGATGATTTCATCTTCAGGAAGGAAAAACACAAATATCTTTGGAAACAGCCAGGAAGTCCAAAAGTTTGTTTTCTTTCTTTTTAATTTTTAAAATATTTGTTTTAGAATTTCATACACGTATGGTATTGACATCATTTCCAGTTCTCCCATGTTGCTTCCAATCACTCTCAAATTCAAGGTCGTTTCTTCCAAAATTGTTATTATATGCACACATGTGTGTGTACATGTAGGCAGAGACTGTTCTTTCATTTCCCAGATGCTCAGACCCGAATAATCACACAGAAACTATGTTAATCACAGCACCGTTTGACCTATTAGCTTAGGTTTCTTATTAACTAACTCTTACATTTTAAATTTACCCATGTCTATTATTTTATATCTTACCACGAGGCTCATGGTTTGTTACCTCTTGCTTCTTAGGCAGCTACATAGTGTCAGCCTCCTTTGGCAGCTACATGGTGTCTCCTACTCTTTCTTAGGTGATTCTGCCTACTCTTTCTATGTATCTCTTCCAGCCTGGATTTATTCTGCCCTGCTATAGACCAAAGCAGCTTCTTTATCAACCAATGGTAATAAAACATATTCATAGCATACAGAGGATAATCCCACATCATGTGTATGTATATATGTGTGTGTGTGTCTGTGTGTGTAAACACCTACTCAGTTCCTTGTATGTACTTAAGTTTAGGGCTGACCACTTGAAATTGGATACCCTGTTTAATCCCTGGAGAAAACTGATTCTCCCCCTCTCAGTAGACCCTGACTAGGGGTGGGGCCTTGTGGAATTTACCCCTTATACGTTGTATAATTTTGTAATAGCAATGAGTATAGCCATTTGTGGATCTTAGGTTCTAAAGGAGAGCCTCCTATTCAATTTTCCTAAACAAAGTTTCCAACTATATTTTAAATATTTAATCTTACACATGCAGACAGTGCTGCTCTTACTCTTCCAGGCGTAAGTTTCCTTTATCAGCAGACAGAAGCTATTACAGCTGGTCAAAATGCAGAGGATAAGGGATGACCAACTCCAATTAATACATATTCAGTACCTAAGATGCAAGGCCCATCACAAAGAAGGAGGGAGGAAAGATAGCAAGATCCAGAAGACCGTGGCAAATACTGTTGAAAGTGTCTTAGAGACCAAAGTTTACTGCCTAAAGATGCGTGAGTGCTTTGTGGACATCCACACCCCATTTCATCTTCAAAGAGCAGCGCCATCACCACCAGATGGCTTTCTTTCCTGAATGCACAATTAGTCTACTATGAATTTTTAAAAATTGCTTAAATGACAATCTACATGTGAAATGATCTCTTTTTCAATGATACAAATGTTTGTATCATCCCCAGAGACTTAAATCCACAGCAGTAAAACACAGATCCCCAGAGTGAAACCTGTAACTACTCAAAAATGACACACATTCAGCGCTGTTCAGCCAAGACGCGGGCCAGACAAAAGCTTGAGATGATGTTATCCATTCTCTGCTATTGGAACCCCGCCGAGTAATGGCATCTCTGGAAAATGGGCCACACGGAATGTGCTAAGCATAGCAACAAAGATGACAATACTTACACATGCCTTTTCTTCAGGTTCATTCTCAAAACACTGGTTTTCTTTATTTTGCTCAACACATGAAATATTTTCCTTTGGTCTGCCACAATCTGTAAGCTGAAAATAAAATTAAAATTTTAAAGATGTATACTCACTAATGCAATGTAAACTAAATGTTTTTCAAGTTTTTATCATGTATCTTAAAATACCCAAGACCTGAATAAAGGAGATTAGCTGTTGCTTATGTCAATTTTAGAATATGGATGTACTACTTAACCCATTTTTATATTCTTCCTGAGGAGAAGACACAAAATGGGACACACTTGCGTTTTTAAATTCCAAAGCATTCCCACCAGGGAATGTTGAAATTGGACTAGTTCCAAGTAAATTGCCGACCTGGTAAAGGCTTAGTAAGTATGGTTAATAAGATAAAGACAGAAGTGTTGACTTCATCTTAAATCTGTTTTCCAGGATCTTCACTGTATGAAGAAGCCATGAATCTGAGAAAGGACCTCAGAAGAGTTAGACGAAGGACAAGTAGGGGTAGAAATAATGTAAACATTGTACTCAAAATGCATAAAATTATTAAAAACGAAATATTAGGCTCAATGAAATGATGATACTTAGGAGCTCCTTCCCCAGTCTCGGAAAGGATGGGGAGCAGAGATGTTGGTGAGTGAGGGCAGCATGGAGACAATGACTATGTCCAAAATGCACTGCATGAAGTTCTCAATGAACTAATGCAAGGCTACTTTAAAGGTAAGTATATGTTCCAAGAGATCATGAAGTTCTCAATGAACTAATGCAAGGCTATTTTAAAGGTAAGTGTATGTTCCAAGAGATCATGAAGTTCTCAATGAACTAATGCAAGGCTATTTTAAAGGTAAGTGTATGTTCCAAGAGATCATGACACAGGAATAGCCATGCTATGGTGTGACAGAAGACCATGCTTTGTAACTCTTTTCATGGACCTTTCATGGCACACAGCCACTTACCTGGTTGCAGTACAGTTCACACTGCTGGGACTTCATATGATGGATTCATATAGCAGATGCATTTTAGCAGGCAAATTGATACATTTCTTTATGGAATTTCATACACACATACATTCCAAAATTAATCAGTATCTTGATTCCAGGAAGTCTCATCATTTAATGGGCACATTCTTATGACTTATATAGTAGGTTGGCGCCCCAACTTGTTTGTATAGTCCATGGCCCAGAAGAGGGGTGCCTTTACATGCTACTCTGCAGATGGCCAGTTTAATGGCAATAGTAATTGTAGGGGATTTTAGGTGGGTCACAAGCACTAGAGACTTTCTTTTCGCTGAAAGTGCCATCATGGTCCTCAGCAGTGAAAGCAAACGTGCTTTGCTTATAGTTACAGAGCTAGCTTGTTCTCCCCACTTCCTCAGTTCCTCTCTCTAATTTTTCACTGACTTCAGATTTAAGAATGACCAACTTCAGCCCAAGCCTGCAGGAGTATGTTGAATGGCTCAGCAGGTAAGCATGCTCGCTGCCAAGCCTGACAGCCTGAGTTCCATCCTTGGGCTCCATGCCATGGAAGGAGAGAACTGACTTCTACGGGTATCCTCTGGCTTTCACAAGCATACTGTGTAATGCACGTGTACATGCACACACATACACACACACACTAAATAAACAAATAAACAAATAAATTCTCTTGTTTTATTATTTGAGAATTCACACATGGGTATAATGTTTTAATCAATTCCTCTCCCCTATATTCTCCCTTCCAATTCCTCCCTCATGCCTTTAACCACTATTCCCTCCATTTCATGTATTTTTTTTTCTTTAACCCACATGAAGAATCCACTTCATGCTGTCAGCATGGCCATGAGGGACATCTACTGGGTCATGGGTAGCTTTTCAGGGACCTCATGCTTAAAGAAAACTGACTCCCTCTCCCGGAAGCCCTCAATTGCCACCAGTGCCTGAGGTGGGAGTGAGACTTTGTGACCACATCCCTTCACCATGCTAGGATTTGGGATGGTTTTATCTTGCATAGGTCATGCGCATGCAGTCATAATCACTGTGAGTTAATTTATCAAATGCTCTGCTGTGTCCTCAATACATTACTCCACCATAATCAACTACAGTCAACTACCACTTCAACTACACTTCAACTACCACTTCCGGCTCTTACACTTTTGACATCCCCTCTTCTGTAATGATCACTGAGCCTTGTGAGATGAGTTGTGATGTAGACGCCCCATGTAGGCATGAACACTCTGAAATCTCTTGTTCTCTGCATGTTCACTACTTGAGGGTCTTCTTAAATACCATCTGAGTACAATAAGTTATTAGGAATTGGTTTAATATTGTGTTTATTTAGCAGAATAATAGCACTCGGATTTCTGCTAGAACCTATGTTCTTGGACTCAGGAACAGTGCCAGACATGAGTTCCAACCTGTAGAATGGGCCTTAAATTGAATCAGACACTAACTGGTTGCTCTCATAACATTCCTGACATTACTGAAGCTGTGGCCATATCTTGTCAGACCGGTCATTATCGTTACTTGTAGGTTTCATGATGGGTAAAACTGAAATCCACTTTTCTCCCCCAATAGCATGTGTGCCACCCTCCAAAACTATGAAAGTTAGCCAGTGGGGATAAGATGCCAGATCAGTAGCAAACTGATTTCCTTATGACCTCTGATTCAAGTATTGTCTGATGCCCAAGCACCATTAATGAGAACCCACATGGTAGGAAAAGAAAACCGACTCTACTCCCACAAGTTGTCAAACATGTGCCTTCGCATGTACAAAACCACACAAATCATGTTTAAAAGCCTGAGAGATTGAGACTAAATTTTTCCCACTCCCAACAGGCACAAGAATAACACATATTCATCTAAATATACTAAATAATTTCAGAAAGAAGAGGGCCTCATAGCTCTACTAGATATCCACACGCAAAGCTTAGAAGTTGCAAGGCAGGGCATTTGAGGTACTTATGACACATGCTAATTTCAAATCTCCTGATCTGCATGCTGAAATGTTAAGCTATTGCAGGTGCAGGTGTGGACAGGTTTGGGAGTAAGGAGTGCTTCCTTAGCAAAAGCAAGGTAAGCACTCTACCCAGCAGGTGCAGTCAGCTCACTTATATGTGTTTCTGTGGTGAAGAGACCCAATCCTATGCTCAGATATTTGGAGCTGCTGAGCTAACTTGGGTGCTCTTACTGTTATGTGAAATTCTTGAATGTTCAAGTGCTCACAATAAGGAGTAAAGGTCTCAAAAGGTCATCGTTTCTGGCTGAGCCGCTGCACTAGACCTGACACAAAACCACTTGGGCTACGTAAGTATAATCAAGCAGAACCCTAACAGGAACCAATCTTGTAACAAAGCAGGAGACTCACCAGCAGAGGAAGGTTGTTCCTTTACCTCAATTTGCAAAGTTCCCTGTGCTTAGCTCACAGATGGAAAACAGCTTTGAGATCCCTGGCCTGACATTTGACCCAGTTCTGCTTCCATCGTTTTTTTTTTCTGTCTGTCCAGACCCTCTGTTCATCCTGCCAGAGCATTTCCCTTCTCTCCAGGTGAAATGCAGACCACTACATGCACAGCCAACAAAAGCCCACTGGATTTTTACATAAATTCTGTTGAAATTTTGTTCTTTGACAGTGAGTTTACATTTGAAAACAGCATGTGAACTAACATGAAAAGCCCCCAAATAATGCAATACTTGGCTCCTGCTGGCATGGGCAGCTAATCTGTGAACTCTGCCTTCGCCACTGAGCACTGCTTTTCATTACCAACTACTGATAAGGAAGCTCATCAAAGAGCCCCCATCCTCACCATTTGCACTAATGCTAGCTTTCATAGTCTTTATGCCCCTCCACTTTCTCGGTGACGTCACATCATTAACTCCTTCTGGAAGGCCCTTTGCTCAGAAGCATCTCTAGTTCTTTCAACCCAGTATCTCAAGCTGTTCCTTTTAGTTAGTGATTGACTTAATTTATTTGACTATACACTATTAATACAGACATCCATTACATAATAAGACATGTGTTTGCCAACTTTAAGCTGACTCATAATATAAATAATGTGGGGAAACAGTTGCAAGGAAATAGTTTGTAAAGATTTTATTTTTAATTATGCATTGGGGAGATAGGGGAGTGTCCAAGTGAGTGCAGTACTCACAGGAGACAGAAGAGGGCATCAGACTCCCCGGAGCTAGAGGACAACATAGGGAATAAGAACAAAGATTGGGTCCTCAGCGAGAGCACTACATGCTCTTAACTACTGAGTGAGCCATCTCTCCAGCTAGAAAGAAACACTATATACATACAGACAGACAGATATGTAGAGATAGACAATGTAGATAGATGATAGATAGATAGATAGATAGATAGATAGATAGATAGATAGATAGATAGATAGAAGATAGATAGATAGATGATAGATAGACAGACAGACAGACAGACAGACAGACAGATAGATGATAGACGATAGATAGATGGATAGATAGATAGATAGATAGATTACATCAGGAACTGATATTTTTAATTCAGTCTACATTGTAGCTTTGAAAGAAGTCTGGAAATAAGCGTCCTAGCTGTAGAAACATAGGGATCTCATCAGAACAAAAGAGAATACAGTCAGGAACTTTAGCACCCACACCCTAGAGAGTGCCACCTACAGACAGACCACTTCTTCACACGTTACATCTGAGACCAGTTAACAGCAAGAGAGCTTGTCCACACTTCCTAGAGTTTCACTGCAGAACCTAGACCAGAATTCAGTTCCTCTGCTTCAGATAAAGAAACAAAAGCTTACTGAGGTCGAATTACTTACCCCCAAAAGGCAAGAACGATTCTAATTTGGTTTAATTCAATTCTAAAACTCATCCTTTTTCAAAAGTGTAATCAAACAGATAATTCTTCAATTATTCAAGGAAACATTATTTGATAATGAATCTATGCATATGATGGGAGAGTGTTCCTCAATGATAGAAAATTATTGAATGTAATCCAGGAAATTTCATCTAGAATTCCCTGCTTTTAGCCACAATCATGAAAAAAAAAATCTCTTCTTTCATGCTTGTTTGTCTTATTACTTGAAATTATGTTGTAAAATTACCGTAATATAGAAA